TCCCCTACCCCAGGGCACTCTGGCCCTTCACCCTCCATGTCCCCTACTCCAGGGCACTCTGGCCCTTCACCCTCCATGTCCCCTACCCCAGGGCACTCTGGCCCTTCACCCTCCATGTCCCCTACTCCAGGGCACTCTGGCCCTTCACCCTCCATGTCCCCTACCCCAGGGCACTCTGGCCCTTCACCCTCCATGTCCCCTACTCCAGGGCACTCTGGCCCTTCACCCTCCATGTCCCCTACCCCAGGGCACTCTGGCCCTTCACCCTCCATGTCCCCTACACCAGGGCACTCTGGCCCTTCACCCTCCATGTCCCCTACACCAGGGCACTCTGGCCCCACAGCCACCCCAGGCTGTCACTGGTGAACTCTGTGGTTGTCTGTGTTGCTACATGAGGAGCCGGGAGGTCACAGCCACCAAATCCGCTCTTTGTTCTGCTGATGGACTGAGCTTTAGACACGATAATATCACTTGTACCTGTTTACAGGAGAGCTGTACAGCACTGACAATACAACAGGAGCAGTGCTGGCTGGAGCAGGAAACACTGGTCAATCTCACAGCAAACTAAAAACACATCCCAGCCCTCCATAGATACTCACCTGCCCGGTTTAGCAGCAACAGTAGTTTCTCTGTGAACACCTTCACGTTCTCCCGTTTGGCCAGTGTCCTCATGATGATGTTGCTGGTAGGCACTGTAACAGTCAATGAAATTGTTAGCACAATGTTTGGGATAACAAATAGGTCTCACTCCATCAGATCTGATTTGGAACTGGATACACTGATTGGGCTCTATGTTCGGTTCAGATTAACACCAACTCCACAGCACCCATGGACTCAGTGAATGGTGAGCAACTTTGCAGCTCAGCTCCTGCTGACTATATTTTGCTGCAGTGGTTGGATAGTCAAACATTATGCCTTGTTTGTTCAGATCCTTAAGCTTGGACATCACTGTTGTAAAGGTCTAAATCACTAGCATGAAATGTGAGATATAAAGTGAGATTCTTTTTATTGGTAGATTCCTGGCGCTCAGCTGCAGGGAGGGTCAGACAGTATCAGGTGAATTGGAAAACATGTCTAACAACATTGTGACTTTCTCGTGGATATCTAGTAAACAGTTCAAATTTTGTGATTATTTTTTGCAGGAAACCAAACATTCTAATTACTAAACAGCATTAAAAACAGAGCAAAGCAGAGTCTCCATTTATTTTCAAAACTCACATTAAGATGAGGAAAGACACATTTCTGATTCTGACAGTGGCTAGTAATTGGATTGTGCACTTTCTATTGCAACAAAACAGAGATCTGACGCTTTCAGTCTTATAGCTTTAAAACCGAAGTCTACTTTGCAGAAAAATCCCAATTAAGATGAGAAAAGAGATTACTGCTTGAAATGATTCCTGAAAATGCATGGGATCCAAAGTAAGTTGGCTGTGTGGATTCAGAATTGGTTTGCCCATAGAAGGCAGAAGGTAGTGTTGGAAGGGTGTTTTTCTGGCTGGAGGTCTGTGATTAGTGGTGTTCTGCAGGGATCCGTATTGAGACCTCTGCTGTTTGCAGTGTATAATATATATATAAATGACTTGGATGAAAATGTAGATGGGTAGGTTAGTAAATTTTCAGATGACACAAAGATCAGGGCAGTTGTGGATTGTGTAGAAGGTTGTCAAATGATACATCAAGATATAGATCAGTTGTAGATATGGGTGGAGAAATACCAGATGGAGTTTAATCCAGGCAAGTGTTGTACTTGGGAGATCAAATGTTAAGGAAAAGTATACAGTTGATGGCAGGACCCTGAACAGCATTGATATACAGAGGGATCTCGGGGTTCAAGTCCATAGCTCCCTGAAAGTGGCTGCACAAGTAGGTAGGGCGTATGGCATGCTTGCCTTTATTGGTTGGGGCAGTGAGTACAAGAGTCAGGATGTCATGTTGTAGCTTTATAGGACTTTGGTTAGGCCGCACTTAGAGTATTGTGTTCAATTCTGGTCGCCACATTACAGGAAGGATGTGGAGGCTTTGGAGAGGATGCAGAACAGGTTTACCAGGATATTGCCTGGATTAGAGGGTAAGAACTATAAGGAGGGGATGGAAAAAACTCAGGTTGTTTTCTCTGGAGCAGTGGAGGCTGTGGGGAGACTTGATAGAGGTCTATAAAATTATCAAATGCATAGATAGGGCTGATGATCAGAATCTTTTTCCCAGAGTTGAAATGTCTAAAACTAGGGGGCATGCCTTTAAGGTGAGAGGGGGAAAAGTTCAAAGGAGATGTGAGGGGCAGAATATGCCTTGTCTGGTCTGATCTCCTTGTTATAGGAAGGATATTGTTAATCTGAAGAGGGCTCAGAAGGGATTTACCAGGATGTTGACGGGAATGGAGCAGTTGAGTTATAAGGAGAGGTTGGACAGGCTGGGTCTTCCATGTTCGGCACAGCACTGTGGGCTGAAGGGCCTGTTCCTGTACTATACTATTCTATGTTCTATAAAATTACAGAACAAAGAGGTACAACTGGTGTGCAACCAACTGTCACTCCTGTTTTTTTCTTCGACTTGCACACCGCCTGTTGCGGATATATTTTAAAATAATGGTTTCACCCAGAGTTTTGCCTCAATTAAGTTTGAAAAGTAACTCATCAGAAACTGCTAGGGATCACAGAAAGGCTCCATGTTGTTGCCTAGTTGGCAAAATGGTACTGACCCCTCCAGGGAAGATGAGATATTTGTGCTCCGTGTGAATAATCAGACAACTTAGTGACTTAGGCCACAGCAAAAAATATCCACTCTGAGCTGGGGTGAAGGACCGTTTTTTTGAAAGTCTGAGGCTTTCAAATAAAATAACAGATACATTAAATACAGAACCAAGAAATTAATATGCAACTGCAATCGGTTTATTATGTTTTTCCTCCAGAAAGTGTTGTGAAAGGACAAATGGGAAAATATAACAGCACCACCTTGTGAGACGGCAACACATTGCTGCAGCTCAGTGTTAGTCAATATTCACCACTGATAAAAAAATGACAGAAATTTTCACAAAACTAGCACATGATTTACTGACTGTCCATCAAGTGGCTTTGGTACTTAAGCCCCATCCTGTCATAAAACAGCACAGTGAGCAATGCAGCTTCTGAGCTGGAAGCTGATAAACAGGCTCCTTCTCAGCAGGAATCAGGAAGGGGCCATCCCTCAGGTTTCGAACTGAGGCCTGGTTTCAGGAAGTGAAATTCATGCTGAAACAAAAGGCTAAGGAAGCAAACTAGAAGTCTGGACAGTTGTTGGTTGAAACTAGCGGTGCCCCCTATATTGGGTAAAGCAACAGGGCAGGAACAACAAGAATAATGGACTGCTTAAATTTTAACTTAGGCGCTTACAGTGAGTCAGTGTAATAAAGGAAGCTGACTGGATTAGAGTGGGGGATGTCAGAGAGAGGTCAGCTGACCTGGAATTTAAGATGAGGCGGGTCATCTTCTGAAAGGAAGTGCTGCTGACCCATTCCCTTGTGAACCCAGGAAAATCCCTCAATAAACAGAGGCCTGGTTAAAAAAAAGTTGTGTGTGCAGAAGGATTACGGTGGTTGAAAGAGTTAAATGTGTTGGCTCGGAAATGTTCAATACTTAGTGCAGTAAAACAGATAGATACATTACCATAACAGACAACCCAAATTACATTACATTGCAAAAATGAGCTAAGAATCAGTCACTCTGATAATCACACCAATTAAAAAACAATCAACAGTAAGGATCTACATTCTGTTACAACTCATCCACCTGCCACTGTAAATTGCAGGACTAGAAACTGGCTTCATTTACTGATTGCAGGATTTAGCAGATATCAAAATCTTTAAACTAACAGACCTTGTTTTATCACAGGTTTGATTCAGTGCCACACAGCATGAAACAGCAGTTGATGCAACACATACTGTATTCTAGTCACAACCCTTCATTCTGATCAAAAGCTGCAGCTTTATTCCAGTCACATGTTGGAGTTTACAGTTTAACAGGGCTTCCAGCAACACTAACACCAACCCCATCTAATTTTCAGCATTTAAAAGATCACCACTTCACACCTCTTTCTAAAATGGCATGAAGCTGTTCTGCTGGTCTAAAACAGGTTGCTGTGTCAAACCAACAATCCAGAAGTCATGACCTCACTCTGCCAAGTGTCAACCCCTGCACAGAAAGCGGTGACCTTCTCCAATTCAACATTGTTCAACAACCACAATTTAGATGCAGAGAATGAAACAGCAGGCTGCGCTGCAAGGGATACAGCAACAAGCAGTTATGCACCAGGGAGGAAATCAATTCCTATTCAACCCACATTCTCTCTTTCACTCACAACCACCGCTGGGCACATCAGAGCTCAGCTTTTGCTGCAACAATATCATTTGGTGGTGGGGAGCATCGCATACTGCAAAGCCCTCCATATGCAGGACCACTTCCATGTTCCTGCTGCTCAGTGCTGCCTACAGGAAATACGGTATAAAAACTGGGCTTAATAGGGGTGGTCATATCTCAGGGAATAATAAAAACAGTTGAGCATCCGACCTCAGTCACGGCAACTGTGAGAGAGTACCTGTCCCCAGTCACCGGGACAGCGAGAGAGAGTACCT